TTTCGGCACGGCTACCAAGTGCACCGACCGCACCTGCAAGCGAGCCAAGACGCCTTCCTAAACAGCGTCATGCGCCATGACTTGCTCTTCATGAACGAGGTACGGTGCCATAAGCGCGAGTCCTTATCACGCATATATCTCGACTAGAGAGGTATTGACAAGCTGTTTGCCCAGTGGCGAGCGTCCCACGCTATCTTTTCGTCCATCGAGATGGTCTCGACGGGATATGACGTAGTACGCGCGTCTGACGACACATACCTCGTGGTGGTCACCGCCATGCTGCATTTGCGCCTCTCTCGCTACTCGCTGCAGTGTCTCTGTCCGCACGTTTTGCAGAACGAGTGGCTCGTCCAGCGCTTGGTCGGACAAGTGCTCTCGATGCCGATCGTCAACACATTTCACTTTCAACCGGACGGTTCGATCTCGCGCATGGACACGGCCGCCAGCATCATTCCCGCTCTGCTCGCACTCGTCGGCGCCGAGAACGCACTTCTCATTGTTGACGGAGCTCAGATACAAGCCAACGGCGAGCTCACGATACCACGATGATCAAGAGATGGCGCTGGTTGCAAGGATTCGATGGCAGTATTGCTACTATGTTATTGGACTAGTACACGTGTCGGCTATGAATGACGTTGTCTGTTGCCGGCACGAACGGACGATGACGTGGCACCACGGCAAGTCACGCCACGAACAACGTTTGCGCGAGGCAGTCGGCGACCGTTGGCATCTGTCTTCTGTCGTAGCCGCGGGCGTGATTCAGCATACAACCAAACAGGCTTGACATTCGGAGACCAAAAATGTTAGTTGTCGTGGATGGAGCATGCTTTAGAATACGTGAGCGGGAGTGCAATATAAGGAAGGACACACGTCATCTAGTGCTGGTTGGCCCACAGATTGCTTCGGGAATGAACTCAGAAGCTGTGCGCTTGTTTTGGTCACGAATCGACTGCAGAACTAACACAAACGTTTGGTCGTGGCGAAATTGCAGCGAAAAATCTGGGACCACCGAGATCCTGAGTGGTTTGGTTGGCTGGAGCGGTGCCTTACCCATGGGTCTCGTTGACCTTGGTCAGCTTTGTGTGATCACGTATAGTCTTGATCTTGAAGCTTGCCAGACGACAAAGTTTGCGTATCGTCGCCGCGCGACCACGAACATGTTCGTGAATACCTTGACGTCTACCTTGATCAAGCGGATTGATCGCGAGTCACTGACGACGCCGCAGTCGCCTTCATTATGCAGAGGCTCGTCATTCCAGGTATCGCGGTAGTAGGCGTCGGACGATGGGTGAACATAAGCGTAAGAACTTGTTGCCGTTGTGAGCAACCCGGTGCGGATCTATGTGACGCATATCTTGTTATTTCAGATCAACTGGTTCCTTTGGCCGGTTTCCCATTGTTTGCGCGAACCTTGGTCCAGCCGCGATCTCGAGCAGTTACCAACCACCGACCACAACTGCCGAGTCCTAGCTCCAACCATCCCTAAGCTCCAGCGCCAACCATGAGCGCCAACCATCCCTGAGCTTCGAGCTCATTTGTCGTTTGCTCGTCGTGTCCGCATCCACAACCTTGATTTTTGCAAACTCTGTGGTGATGTATCGTGCAAATCTCACACTCTGCTTCGCCGCGGCAGACCAAGCAGGTGCGGCAATCCCGTGGGCTCCCACACAGCGCACAAGGAGCTTGCTGGTACCACACTGGCTCCCATAGCTGGCTCCCACATACAAAACGGTACTTGCGTCAAGAATTCTTGATCGTTGAATGCATGCCAAGAATGACGAACCTTGAAGCCACGGCCAACTCAACCGTGTTGGCTAGTTGGCTAGTCTATCTTTTAATTGAATAACGATTTTTTTGCGCGAAGCGCGGCACGAGCGCAGCGAGGGCACCCGGCGGTAGCCGGGCCCGTGCGATAGCACGGATAGGGCAAAATGAAGTCTCAACTCGGTGTTCCGGCGTGCACAGCGCGTCGGGAAGGGTCGGGAAGTGTCGAATTCGGTTAAGTACGAGTGGCAGGTCAATGTCGTCAAGACGTATCTTGATCTGACTATTGGGTGGACAAAATCCCGGTCAAGTACGGAAACGCACCTTATAGGATTCACGCACCTTGGCCAACCCGCGCGCAGCGCGCCACGAGCGAAGCGAGTCGACCCGGCGTAGCCAGGTCCTGCGCGATAGCGCAAACCACGAGCGTAGCGAGTGCACCCAGCGATAGCTGGGGTCCGAGCGGTCGGTTAATATGCATGTGGCATCCATGCGCGCAGCGCCAATCCCGAGCGTGTGCACTTGCGATACAGTAGTGCACGGCAGCGTGGTAGGATAATGTGCGCGATAGCGCAATGTACGAGCGTAGCGAGTGCATTTGGTATCGATGGGTCCTGCGCGATAGCGCGGGACCTTGAAGCTTTGTTGCATTGTGTTAGGTCAAAGTATTAGGTCGCTCTGTTAGGATCGCATCTGTGTTACGTTTGGTTTGCAGGTTTTTATTGCGCGCCACGCACGGAGCAG